CACTACCTGTCCTGCACTCATTGCTTGGCGCCCTGCAGTAAGCACTGCACCTTCCTTCACCGCAGCCCGATGTCAGTGGATTGGCTTCACTGTGCGAGGGTGAGTGGACCCAAGTTTGGTTCAGTAACACTGAATGCTCTACAGAGGGAAAAAACAGGGAAAAGGGGATGGGGAATTTGAGCAGGGAGTTTTAGTTTTAATACCCTATGAGTAAAGGTCTGTCTGAGGCGGGTAGGGAGGCATATACATTTGTAAAAACTTATTCAGCTGTACACCTAAAATGGGTAGACCTTATTGTAAGTAAATTACACGTCAATAAATATTTTTTTAACTGAAAAAGAAAATCTTAACAAATTAGGGAGTAAAGCATCTTGCTTTACTTTGTTAAAGTTACATTCCAGATCCCTCTAGGAAACACTCTCCTCAATGGAAAAACATAATATGCTTTCCTTTTAGAATCGGGAACATGGAAGGGATATTTACAAGCATGATGACAGTGTAATCTTGTAATGCTTATAAGGAAAGGAAAAAATGTGTAAGATCGGAAGGCAAAAGATGAAACCGATTCTTTGTAGATTATTTCCTAGAAAAGCCAACAGAATCAACATCTGGGCTTTTAAAACTATTCAAAGAGTTAAGCAACTTTACTAGTTAAAACTAATTATACTAGTTTTCTAGTATACTAGAATAGAACTAGTATATCTAGTTATACTAGAAATAAAATTGAAAAAAAAGAAGACAGTTACCAAAGCAACAAAAAACTCCAAGATTTCTATGAATTAAGTTAATCAGGAGTTTAAAACTTTGGGGACTTAAATGAGAAAAGCACAGCCTAAAACAGAGAACACTTCTGGGAAATATGTTTATGAGTCCAAAGTAGGGAAGGATTTTGAAATTAGACATAAAATGAGCAAGCTGTTAAAGGAAAAAGATGGATACATTTGACTATATTATGATTAAATGTCATTCAAAGATTCCTTAAGGGAGTAGGGGAAAAAAAACCCTTAATACATAGACTTTACTGTAAACAGCATTATCTGTAAAATTGAGACATCTAACCATTACCAGCTTAAAAGATTATAATAATTGAATCATACCTGAAAGTGGTTTAGCATAAGCCCTGAAATCTAGTAAGTGTTCAAAAAAAAAAATGATGAGCTTTCCAAATTTCCAGAAATCTTAACCAGATTTCTTGGTTGAGCTTACATTTTATAACTTCATCATCCTAATAGGGATCAGAGTCCCCATTTCTTAAGAATCAGAAGAATTAGGATCGTTAACAAGGGGAGATTTGGAATTTCAGCAGAGACTTGGGAGCCCCTCTGTCCCTCTGATGGGGCTCGCCCTCCGATGGCAGCTGCTTAACAGTCTCTACCATCCTCATCAATGGCTCTCAGATTCTTCACACCCCTTTCCGTCAGTTCTCACTCCTCTGGCTTACCTTTAGAAAGGTCCCCTGGGTCTGACATCCTGTAACCTAGATGTGCTTCCATGCACTGGTCCAGTAATAAGAACTGGCAGAAGTGGCATCAGGACTTAAATACATCCCTTGACAGCCACACCCCCAGTCCCGCCCACTCCACTGAAGTGTAGTTGATGTATAATGTTATGCTAGTTTCAGTTGTACAGCAAAATGATTCAGTTATATATATATTCCTTTTCAGATTCTTTTCCATTATAGGTTATTACAAGATGTTGTATATAGTTCTCTGTGCTATACAGTAGGTCCTTGTTGTTTATCTATTTTATATATGGTAGTGTGTAAATGTAAATCTCAAACTCTTATTAATTTATCACTCCTACTCCATCCCTTTCCTCTTTGGTAGTCATAGTTTGTTTTCTATATCTGTGAGTCCACTTACGGTTTGTAAATAAGTTCACTTGTGTCTTTTTTTTTTAGATTTCACATATAAGTGATATCATATGATATTTGTCTTTCTGTCTGATTTACTCCACTTAATATGATTATCTCTAGTTTCATCCATGTTACTGCAAATGACATTGCATTCTTTTTTTATGGCTAAGTAATATTCCACTATATATATATCTTCTTTATCAGTTCCTCTGTGAATTGACATTTGGTTGCTTCCATGTCTTGGCTATTGTGTATAATTTATTTTTATTTATCTATTTTGGGGGAGGGTAATGAGGTTTGTTTATTTACTTAGTTTTTAATGGAGGTACTGGGGATTGAACCCAGGACGTCATGCATGTTGAGCATGTGCTCTACCACTGAGCTATACCCTCCCCACCCTTGGCTGTTGTAAATGGTGCTGCTATGAACATTGGGAGGCATGCATCTTTTCAAGTTAGTGTTTTTGGTTTTTTGGATATATAACTAGGAGCAGAATTACTAG